TAAGACAAGTAATTTGTTTTGTTCTCTTCTTTTTTTTTTTCATTAGCCCCTAATTTTTTTAATATACCCTACATATATGCCTTATGGGCATTCCATGGCACATTAACATCAGTAACAGAGTCAGCATTAAAGCGTAAAGCCAAAACTTTTCTTTAGGTTTTTGCTTTGGTAAGGAAATGTTAACATCTCTGTCAGTATGTTTTTGCTGGGTAGACTTCCTTTACTTCCTGTCTTGGAAATACAACAGGAAGTAAGAAAAAATCTCTCCAAAGCGAAGAGAAATCACATTTTCAAAAATTTGTCACCAGAACATTTATTCCTTCTGGAGCAAATAATAACTAAGTACTTGTTAACTGCAACTTTGCAATACTTTTTTTTTCCAAATGGCTACTGCAAAAGTAACCTTCTGAATCCAAATGTAGAGAATAATAGCAATTATGATATTTGAACAATGACGATCAACACTAATTGTGGCTAAAAATTACTGTTGACTCACTGGCTGTTCTGTGTCTATTGCTTACAGTTGTGGCCAAAATTATTCAACCCCCACTGAAATTGAGTGTTTTGGCCAGTTTGACATTGCTTTTGATCATTCAGTCATCTTGCTTACATTTACATTAAAGAGGCACTTGTAGGTCAGACAAATATAACATAACAGTTATAATGAAATAACCACAAATGTCTTTTCTGTGCTCACAGCATTATCAGTTTTATTCAACCCCCAAGTGACATTCAATCTTAGTACTTAGTACAGCATCCTTTTACAGTTATAACAGCTTTTAAACGTGAAGCATAGCTTGACACAAGTGTCTTGCAGCGATCTACGGGTATCTTCGCCCATTCTTCATGGGCAAAGGCCTCCAGTTCAGTCACATTCTTAGGCTTGCGCACTGCAACTGCTTTCTTTAAGTCCCACCAGAGGTTCTCAATCGGATTTAAGTCTGGTGACTGCGATGGCCACTCCAAAATGTTCCAGCCTTTCCTCTGCAACCATGCTCTAGTGGACTTGGAGGTATGCTTGGGATCATTGTCCTGTTGAAAGGTCCAACGTCTCCCAAGCCTCAGGTGTGTGACGGACTGCATCACGTTTCCATCCAATATCTCCTGGTACTGAAGAGAATTCATGGTACCTTGCACACGCTGAAGCTTCCCTGTACCTGCAGAAGCAAAACAGCCCCAAAGCATGATTGACCCTCCACCATGCTTCACAGTAGGCAAGGTGTTCTTTTCATCATAGGCCTTGTTCTTCCTCCTCCAAACATAGCGTTGATCCATGGGCCCAAACAGTTCTAATTTTGTTTCATCAGTCCACAGAACACTATCCCACAACTTTTGTGGTTTGTCCACATGGCTTTTGGCATACTGCAGTCGACTCTTCTTATTCTTTGGAGACAGCAAGGGGGTACGCCTGGGAGTTCTGGCACGGAGGCCTTCATTACGCAGTGTGCGTCTTATTGTCTGGGCTGAAACTTCTGTACCCACATCTGACAAATCTTTTCTCAGTTCCTCAGCAGTCACACGGGGACTTCTCTCCACTCTACGCTTCAGGTAGCGCACAGCAGTCGAAGTCAGCATCTTCTTTCTGCCACGACCAGGTAGCGTTTCAACAGTGCCCTTTGCCTTGAATTTGCGAATGATGCTTCCTAAGGTGTCTCTTGGTATGTTTAACATCTTTGCAATCTTCTTATAGCCATTGCCCTTCCTGTGAAGAGAAATCACCTCTTCTCTTGTCTTCCTGGACCATTCTCTTGCCTTCACCATGTTTGTAACCACACCAGTAAATGTCTAGAAGGAGCTGAGTATCACAGTCATTTTAAAGCTGCCTAATTGGTGCTTATTATGCTTGATTGCTGCTCGGTGACATCCACAGGTGTTTTCAATACCTGATGGAAAGCACCTGTATGAACCTCTGTTCTTCAGAGTGGTAGTCTTTAAGGGGTTGAATAATTGTGGCAATGAAGAAACCACATAAGAACCATTTACTACTGTATTACATAAACAATTGATGTCATTTTAGTTGCATTTGGGTAGTTACAACGTCCTTGTAGGATTTGATTCTGAATACAATTCCAAATGTACACTATAGTCCCTAAACCCTTTACAGCATTGGGGGTTGAATAATTTTGGCCACAACTGTACATAGTAACACTAACAGAGACTTTCCACTCTGAAAACTGGTCAGCGAGATTTCTATTATAAAAGAAAATTACTACCTCACAAGTGATAAAAGATCCGCCTATGCACAATTAGAAAACCTGGAACATAAGCAGAACTGTTGCCCATAGAAACTATGTTCTGTTTCATTCATAGTTTTTCTGGCTTTTGTCTTTTTTCAGCCAAAGAAAATTATTTGCAAAGTTGCAGTTAACACCTACTTGGTTAATTTTTGCTTAACCTCATAAATGTAATAACAGTAGTTCTAAATATGACTTCTATTAAAACTTTGCAAGAGATAATTATATTTTGTATATTGAAAAAAATGCAATTTGTTGATTTACGAAACAATTGTCATGCAATTCCTTGTGGCAGAATATTTATTGTCTTACATGGATGTTTATTTTCAGATAATACAAGAATAGTGGAAAATGAAAGAAGACTTGAGTACAGAAGACCAGAGTATGGAAGGCATCTGAGTGATGGAGCTAATGAATAAATACTTAATCTATAGTTTGCTTTTTCTGATTAAGACATCCTGAATGGCTGATACGAGAGAGATATTGCTAAACAAAAATGCATACTTTAAAGTAGTATTTATGTAGGGATAAATACAATTATTTTTTACTACCTGTATTTTCGCTCCCCTATATTCCCCTTTACTTCCTCCAGGATGTCTTGCTCTGGCTGTAGTTTGACTACAATGTATTGGGATTAGATTACTAGATTTTTAAAAAATATATATTTATTTATGTGTGTGTATGTATATAAAATATATATATACACACAGTGAATATAAAAGGTTTACACACCCGTTAAAATGTCAGGTTTCTTTACATACCGTATTTTTCGCTCCATAAGACGCACCTGACCATAAGACGCACCTAGGTTTTAGAGGCAGAAAACAAGAAAAAAAAATATTCTGAACCAATAGACTGCAGACACATTACAGGAAATGACCAGAGCCTGCGGACACAGTACAGGAGATGACCAGAGACTGCGGACATAGTACAGGAGATGACCAGAGACTGTGGACATAGTACAGGAGATGACCAGAGACTGCGGACACAGTACAGGAGATGACCAGAGACTGCGGACACAGTACAGGAGATGACCAGAGACTGCGGACATAGTACAGGAGATGACCAGAGACTGCGGTCACAATACAGGAGATGACCAGAGACTGCGGACACACTACAGGAGATGACCAGAGACTGCGGACATACTACAGGAGATGACCAGGGACTGCGGACACAAAGTACAGGAGATGACCAGAGACTGCGGACAGTATAGGGGATGACCAAGAGACTGCGGACGTACTACAAGAAATGACCAGAGACTGCGGACACAGTACAGGGGATGACCAAGAGACTGCGGACACAGTACAGGGGATGGCCAGAGACTGCGGACAGTATAGGAGATGACCAGAGACTGCGGACATAGTACAGGGGATAGCCAGAGACTGCGGACACAGTACAGGGGATGGCCAGAGACTGTGGACACAGTACAGGGGATGGCCAGAGACTGCGGACACAGTACAGGGGATGGCCAGAGACTGCGGACACAGTACAGGGGATGGCCAGAGACTGCGGACACAGTACAGGAGATGACCAGAGACTGCGGACACAGTACAGGGGACGACCAGAGATTGCGGACACAGTACAGGGGATGACCAGAGACTGCGGACATACTACATCATATAAAGTCCCCACAGGGCCCCTCCACCCAGAATATCAAATGATCTGACACCATACATCAAGGAAAAGGACTACAACTCCCAGCATGTCATTTTTAACTTACAGAAGGCAGGGGGCACACTGAGCTCCGAGGACAGGCCACACCAGCAGACAGGACCGGACTGCAGAGCAGGGAGCGCACTATGGACACATGCCAGGAAAGGGGAGGAGCTGTAAGGACAAGCCACACCTGCGGACCGGACTGCAGAGCACAGAGAGCAGTACACAGACATGCCAGGAGCGGGGAGGAGTCCGAGGACAGGCCACGCCTGCAGGGCAGACCGGCAGAGCTGGGTTCGGCGGGGGACTGCCTACTATGAAGAGCTGCGGGGACAGCCCGCTGAGAGACGGGATAAGGTAGGGAGAACATCAGTGACAGGCTGCAGTGGGAGGGGACAGTCGCTGGCCCTAAAACGGCGGCGGTGACAGGTGGAGGACTGTCAGTATACGGAGAGAGAAGGGATAAGGCAGGGAGAGCATCGGTGACAGGCTGCAGTGGGAGGGGACAGGCTGCAGTGGGAGGGGACAACCGCTGGTCCTAACACACGGCGGCGGTGACAGGTGGAGGACTGTCAGTATTCGCTCCATAAGACGCACAGACATTTTCCCCCATACTTTCTGGGGAAAAAAGTGTGTCTTATGGAGCGAAAAATACGGTATATACACAAAACAAAGAAATTGTGCTTCCAAAAAATATACAGAATGTAAGATATAATAGAGACTAAACACATATAACGAGCTGCTGCAAACACGTGTTATGTGTGTTCCCATAAAAAAGTATGCAAGTGAAAAAGTGTTGCACTCCTCAAACAATATTAATGATGTGAAAACAAACAATGAAATAATATAAAGACAATTCCAAGGTGAATAAGTCCACTTAAAAGTTAAAAAACTCTTTAAGAAATCCAGATAGAGAAGAGCATTTTCCTACTGGTGACTGCACTCAAAAGCCCAGTGCTGTAAATCCTCAATTTAAGTGCATCACCACAGTGAACATATACAGTTGTGAGGGACTATAGTGTACATTTGGAATTGTATTCAGAATCAAATCCTACAAGGACGTTGTAACTACCCAAATGGCAACTAAAATGACATCAATTGTTTATGTAATACAGTAGTAAATGGTTCTTATGTGGTTTTTCTTCATTGCCACAATTATTCAAAACCCCTTAAAGTACTACCACTCTGAAGAAACAAGAGGTTCATACGGTGCTTTCCATCAGGGATTGAAAACACCGTGGGGGGCACCGAGCAGCAATCAACATAATAAGCCCCCAATAGGCGCTTTAAAATGA